TCCCAAGTAGCCCCATTCGATGGGGCTACTCGGGACCCTTCTTTTTTTGCTTCTGGCACCTTACGAATAGCATATGGAATTTTTTTGGAGAAGCCATGTGATAGCCCTTGCAAAGAGCTTTGAAATGAGCCTAAACTTGTTTATGAAATATTCCATGGTAAGAAGTTATGAATGAAAAACGTTCAAAATCGTCCCGAGTAGCCCCGGTTGATGGTAGTCAAATAGTTAAAGACTACTTATAGCCTTATAAGAATTAGCTAAGCTGCTAGCTTTGTACAATGTATTACACACTTGATGCCTCTGTACCAAAAACATTCAATTTATTGGAACCTAATACACACTAAAGGCAACAAGTTCATATACCAATTTGTCATTCATAGTACATTTATACTAAACCATGAATAACAATACCTCAATATAAATTAAAGACTGTCACTCAATATATTTAAATAGGTATATGAAAAAATCAAATAAATTGAAAAAATGAAAAAAATCATGATTTTTTAAAAAAATCAAGTGATTTAATCACATGATTTAATCATTGCCAACCCTGTGACTAAGTTTATGGTTTTATTTTTTTAAATGTCAAAGGGGTACAAGTCAATCTGTTTTATAGTGTGTATTATTTTTCCCATGAAGTGCTATTTTTTTATGCACTTACTTATTCCATGTATATATTCTATACCATCAAACAGGGTAATAAGGGACGGGCCAGGTAAATTGGGACAGTTGTCCCACATTTTGTAGAAATGCTGTAGCAGCTAAACTAATCAAAGTATTGCAAAACTAAAAATAGTGGCATAAAGTTGAACATTTTTACTATCTGTGTAGCATAAAGCAAGCTAAGAAATCATACATTTAGTACCGTCAACCGGGGCTACTTGGGATGGGCAGGGTAACTCGGGACAGTCCTCCGACACGGCGTAAAACTGTTTTAGTAGCAAATCTAATTGGAATATTGTAAAACTAAATATAGTGGTGTAAACATCAACATTTTTCCTATCTATGTAGTATAAAGGAAGTTTAAAAATACTACATTCACTAGCTTTGAAAAATTCCTAAAAAATGATGAAAAATGATATTTTGAAAAGTTCTGTAGTGTTTTGTAGTTGTAGAAAAAAGTTTGAAAAGGTCTGTATTAAAAAAAAGATTCCCCGTATTAAAAAATTTTACTTGCATCAAAGTTGCACCCAGGTGTTGGCTTGAAAATGTAATTGACAGATTTTGCCTATCTCATTCCAAAAAAAAAAAAATGGCGGCCATTTCAGCACGGCGGGACTACTCGGGAAACCCCCCCCCCCCCAGGGGCTATTCGGGACACCCACAAAAACACATTTACAGTAGAACCTCAGCAAAGGCTCCAGTTAAGAGAAAAATTGATTAAAAACAAAGAATGTTGATTACATTTACCTTGCTGAGCAAATAAAAGTTCACTTATTGAAAAATTAGTGCATCATCGGTCATCACAAAATTGTGCATAGAATGTCATATTTAGAATTGTGCACCAGGCATCATCGAATGAAAAGTAATTGACCTAAACTATGATTTATTTCTCCAAAACATATGATGGTTGTCACTAAAACATTCCTTTCTGTTTCAGGTATGTTTTTCACAATCTTTTTAGCACATTTTCTCATTTATGGAAAAAATGCACTATTGTGCTTGCCATGTCTATATGTCTGTCTGTCCGTGACCTCAAGTTTTTGTCGACGAGAAAATGCACTCTCTGTCACTCACTGCAGTGAGTACTGAGTTATATTTTTCTCATAGTAAATTCACTTAACCCAATTAAAATGGTGTGAAATTACAAGCCATCCTGTAAGCTTACAGATACAGAAAAAATGCTATAAGGCTGCTGATATGAAGCTTGCAGTGGACAAGGTTGTTGTAAATGCTCAATGGCATGTTCATGGATATGGTAATATCGCATCAATAATACAGTACGTAATATCCCATCAATAAGACGGTACCATGGTACCCTCAACTGGGGTGACTTTGGCCGCCGGGTGACTTCCACTGCCTTTTCGATTTTGTTTTGCAAACAAGAGCGGGGTCATAAACAATGGCCAAAGTCACTCCAGCGTTTATGACCTCTTTTACAACCCTGGCATTTATGACCCCATTTTTGTTTGCAAAATGAAATAAAAAAAATGCAGCCAAAGTCACCCCATTTGAGGGTAATTAATGTTTATGGTAATATTTTAATAAAGAAAAAATTAGTAAAAATCACAGAAAATGTCATTTATTCTACCTCTACATCATCTACAATGAAAGAGGAGGACTTCAGAGTACTGTTCGTAATGGATGAGTACACTCTGCATGCTTCAAATATTTTAACATGAAGTTTTATTCCAAGTGTCCCGAGTAGCCCCGTTCGACGGGGCTACTCGAGACACTCTTTTTTTGCTTCTGGCACCTTACAAATAGCATATGGAATTTTTTTGAAGATGCCATTTGATAGCCCTCGCAAAGAGCTATAAAAGGAGCCTAAACTTGTTTATGAAATGTTTCATGGTAAGAAGTTATTAACAAAAAACACTTAAAACCATCCTGAGTAGCCCCGGTTGACGGTACCTCTAAAAAATCCCTAAAAAAAGTTGAAAAGTGAGGTTTTGGAAAAGTACCTCTGTTAAGGTCTGTAGTGAAAAAAATATTTGCCATATTAAACAATTTTGCTTGCATAAAAGTTGCCCCCAGGTATTAGCTTAAAAACGTGATTGGCAGAATTTGTATATCTTATTTAAAAAAATGCCGGCCATTTCCCCAAGACGGGGTTATAAGAGACACCCCTAAAAACACATTTACAGTAGAACCTCAATTAGCAAAGACTCCATTCAATGAAAAAATCAACAAACGACTATAAATTTTTATTACACTCACTTCACTGAGCCAGAAAGAATTCACTTAATGACAAATTAATGCATCATCGGTCTTTTAAAAATTGTGCATAGATAGAATTTTCATAGATGAAATTGTGCAACAGGCAACTTATAATGAAAAGTAATTAACCTTAACAAAGATTTATTTCTCCAAAAGATATGATGGTTGGCACAAAAATATTCCGTCAAACGGGGTAAAAAGGGACAGGCGGGTTAAATAGGGACGCGCGTCCCACATTTCGTAGAAATAATGTAGCAGCTAAACGAATCAAAATATTGCAAAACTAAAAATAGTGGCGTAAACTTCAACATTTTTACTATCTATTATGTATGAAGCTAGTCAAGAAATCAAACATTTACTATCTCTAAAAAATCGCCGAAAAAAAGTGTGAAAAGTGTGATTTTGGAAAAGTACCTCTGCTAAGGTCTGGAGCAAAAAAAATATTTGCCGTGTTGAAAAATTTTACTGAATAAAAGTTGCACCCAGGTGTTGGCTTGAAAACGTAATTGACAGAATTTGCCTATCTCATTCCAAAAAAAAAAAAATGGCAGCCATTTCCGTGCCACGGGGTAAAAAGGGACACCCCCCGGGGTAATTAGGGACACCCTTAAAAATGCATTTACAGTAGAACCTCAGTTAGCAAAGGCTCCAGTTAACAAAAAATTGATTAACAACAAAAAATTGTGATTACATTTACCTTGCTCGGTGAAAAAAATTCACTTATCGAAAAATTAGTGCATCATCGGTCGTCACAAAATTGTACATACAATGCTATATATAGAATTGTGCATCAGGCATCATAAAATGAAAAAAAATTGACCTAAACTATGATTTATTTCTTCAAAACATGATGGTTGTCACTAAAACATTATTTTCTGTTTCAGATATGTTTTTCATGATCTTTTTTGTTATAGTGAAATCACTAGACTCGATTAAAATTGTGCAAAATTACAAACCATCCTGTAAGCTTACAGATATAGAAGAAATGCTACATGGCTGCTGATATGAATCTTGCAGTGGACAAGGTCGTTGTCAATGCTCAATGGCATGTCCATGGATACAGTAATATCACATTAATAATATGGTAATTAATGAATATGGTAATATCATATCAATAGAGTAAAAACATGTGAAAATCACAGAAAATGCCATTTATTTTACATCTACCTCATCTACAATGAAAGAGGAGGACTTCAGAGTACTGTTAGTAATGGAAGAGTACACTCTGCATGCTTCAAAGGTTTTAAAATTAACTTTTATTGCAAGTGTCCTAGATTACCCCATTCCCAGGGGTAAATCAGGACGGTTTTATTTTGCTTCTGGCACCTTACAAATAACATATGGAATTTTTTTGAAGATGCCATTCGATAGCCCTCGCAAAGAGCTATAAAATGAGCCTAAACTTGTTTCTGAAATGTTTCACGGTAAGAAGTTGTTAAGAAAAAGCGCTCAAAACCGTCCCTTTTTACCCCGTTTGATGGTTCCTTTCTGTTTCAGGTACTTTTTACAATCTTTCTTTGTTATAGTGAATTCACTTGACTCAATTAAAATGGAATGAAATTACAAGCCATCCTGTAAGCTAACAGATACAGAAGAAATGCTATATGGTTGCTGATATGAAGCTTGCAGTGGACAAGGTTGCTGTTGATGCTCAATGGCAAGTCCTTGAATATGGTAATATCACATCAATAATACAGTAATGTATGGATATGGTAATATCATATCAATAAAGTAAAAATAAGTAAAAATCAAAGAAAATGTCACTTATTCTTCATCTACATATTTTAAAAAGGAAGAGGAAGATTTCAGAGTACTGTTAGTAGTGGATAAGGACACTCTGCATGCTTCAAATGTTATAAAATTGAGTTTTATTTCAAGTGTCCCAGATTACCCCATTCCCAGATGTAATTTGGGATGCTTTTATTTTGCATCTGGCACCTCAGGAATAGCATATGGAATTTTTTGGAGATGCCATACAAAAGCCCTCACAAAGAGCTTTAAAATGAGCCAAAATTTGTTCATGAAATGTTTCATGGTAAGAAGTTATCATTGAAAAATGCTCAAAACCATCCCTCGTTACCCCATTTGGCAGTATATTCCATTTTTCATGCTCTTAAATATATTCCATGTGTCCATGTAAGCTAGTTGGCTCTCAGAAGATTGCCAGTGTGCCACGTTGCCACCGCCTTTCAAAGCTAGAATTATATATATACTATTATTTCTGATGTAGGTATGTACGGTATATTGATTCCACAACTCCATTTGTTCCCTTTCAGATTTTTTCTCTTGAAAATTAAAAAAAAAATAAGTACAAACTTATCCTGTGATTAATCAACATACTCACTACCATACATCTTCAATTCATTCAAAATTTTAAGGAATGAATCATGGCTGAACGTGGCAAACGCCTGAGGAATGACTATCTTTCCAGTAACCGTCTTAACTCATATGACCATGAACAACTCATTCAAATTTTCTATGAGAAGCAAAACCATGTTCAGCAGCTGGAGGAACAACTTCAACAAATTCAGAAACTGGTGAGGCTCTGATGTCTACAAATTATTAGCCTTGAATTACAGTTATATATAATTTAACAATTTGTGGTTTTGGTGCTAAAATCTTGTTCACATTTTCTTATTGCCTTTGTTGCCTAATTGCTTGAAGTGGACATCAATTTGAATAAACATTTCTGGGATTCACTAATTTTTCCTTTATTCATTTTGTGTGAACATTTTTTTTATATGGCAGGTGGCGGTCAGTGTGGCTGTGCTCCAATGCAGTGATGTACAGGCGCTCAGCACAACCCTTCAGGCACAGCAGCAGCAACAGCAGCAACAACAGCAGCAACAGCAACAGGATGATTTTCTTGCTATTGTTGACACTGCATCACATGAGCTGTGCTTAGCAACTCAGCGCTGCCAAGTAGCTGAAAATAAAGTCACTTTAAACAAACTATTGGGATCTGAAATGATCAGCTCTTCTCCTGAAATGATACTCTGTAATATCTATGTACAAGATATGCGTAATACTGGCTTGCCTCTTTCCTTGTTTTCTATCAACAAGATTCAAAACACTGATTTTTATCAAATAAAACCAAAAGAGTTGTTTTACTATATTCACATTGATATGGGATTGAGAAATTTGATGCTTAAATCTTCTTTTGATGACATCACTTCTTGTTTCCGTCAAATTCAAAGTTTGATATTTGATCTTGTTAATCATGACAATATATTTGCCACTCTATCATCAGAAAAATTCATTAAGAATAGCTTATCTTGTACAAAGAACCGCCAAATGATTTCCTTTGCACTACCATTTTACAAAACCTTTGTAGACTCTGATAATGCAACTGCTGATAAAAACGTCAAGTTGATGAATATCAAATCCTTTATGACGGCTCTGAATATCACACTTTATTATAAACCCTCAGCTGAGAGATGCTGGACGGCTGGGATGAATCACCCTGATGGGCGCATTTCCAATTTGCCATCCCACATTCAAGGCATGGTGAAGAAATTCATGTCTAACATTTCTAAAGAGGACTTGGTTTCTAGTGTTCGATTACTGCTCACGGAATTTTCTCAGTCCCGTGGATGTTTGGATTCGTCTAGCAGCGATGAAAGCAGTGTTGAGGAGTTTGCTGGCATGTTTTAGTGCAGCATTTAGTTTAGCATCAATTGACACTTGCTGGTCAAAATTAGCTGGCTCTTGAAAAGAAAGGAATTAACCTGCCCAATCGCAGCTGTTGGGTTGTAAATGCAGGCATTTATGACTCAATTAAAATGTGAACAGGACTTGAAATATTGTGAACAGGACTACATTTGTGGACAATGCCACTGAGATTTGAGGTAGAGGATACGGATGATCTTTTGTCTACAATGATGATAATAATGTATGCATAGAATCGATTGTAAACTAATACCTACTACAAACTTTGGCTTTTAAAATTGCAGAATAATCGTGTTTCCAAGCGAATGCGTAATAATTATATATTTCTATATAATAATGTATAATACGTTCGTTGTAAATTTACTTTATTAGGTGTTGACTAATGTCCATTATCTGGCTATTAACGATTGTAAAAATGCTATATTACAGAATATAATTGTATTTTATTTTTATTTTTCAAGAAGGTCAAGATTTGATTGCTGGTGTGCCAAATGTGCACTACGTGTAGAATAAGTTTCAATTCACAAGCAGTAATTTTTTCTCTATTTCTTGATGGAGATGGAGGTTATAATAACCTTTGGAGATTTGGTTATTACAATATTGTTGTAAACTTTTTGTCCAGCACGTTTTTTTATGTTATAAACTTGATTGTTTTGAAGTGCAGGGAGCCTTATTAAATTTATAGTCTGACATGAAATTTTGCTTCTTTAATTTGTGTATAGTAATGCAAAGAAATGTTTAAATCTGCCGCATCTTCTTTTTAAGGTAAAAAAACAAAATTTTGATCAAAATCGTTCACCATTTTACGTATTTCTATTGGCGAAAGTGCCAGGGTCAATAACTACATAACCTTTAAACATAATAAATACCTTAATGGTTCACAACGTATAATTGAAAAGCGCACATTTGTGCATTTACTTCCACAAGTCCGAAAGCTAATTTCAGGCAAACATTGTACAACAAGCCCCACTGTACTCGCATCTTTATCACAGTCAATCAGACATCAACAAACTTGTGTTCGTCAATACAATCATAAGTGTGCGCTGCCACGCGAAATTGCCTTTTCATCTCACATACTCGAACTTGTTTTTTATGCGGAGCTACATAATAAATTGAATAACGTCTAATATAATACTGGCGTCACTTGTGTCGCATAAAATTCCTGGCTCTTTCTCCGTGTTAGCGCCGTCAGGTATTGGAACAGATGGCTACCTTCATTAAAGCATAATGATATTCATAGAAATTATATATTATATTCGGTGTACGATAGGCGGAATGCTGGTAATAACATATACTGTAACTACGCTATAGCGAAACAGCGTTTGGATCGATTGTATAACTGATCATTGTAATTCGAAGCATTACTTTTATTGACGCTAGTACCGGTATTGCGGAAAAAATTATTTGCCTCATGCGATCAGGCAATGGATCTCGAGTTGGAATGTTTAACTTGGTAACTTTGATTTTGCTTCATGTTTAAGTTCAATCAAACCATCAACCACTCGCTTCAAACATCGAAAACCTGTTTATGACTGCAGTCCATTATGATTTAAATCCAAGGCCGCATTGGTAAAAGATTTCTGCAATGAGTTCATTGCGTTCGAAGAAAAGAATGAGTGAAGTATATACGTCGCATGGCAAAGATGGGTGTTGTTTCATTAGGGACATTACTATTTCCATTTGCTGTCAGAAAGTTGTTGCATTCTTGTGTTGAGAAAATGTATTGAGTTATGTTCAAGCAAGTCCATAAACGGATTCTCTTAGTTTAAACGGAAACGCCGAGCGTCTCTTAGTTTTTGCAACAAATTAACTAGATAGAAATTTATTAAAATCGCTTATAAATCGCCTGATCCGCTTCCCTTACGGCTACATGTATCAAAAGAACTTCTAGCTATACGAGCATATACAACGCCCGGGTTACTTCTATGTCTATCCGTCATAAGTGAAGTTGTAACGCGACGATCCCAATCCCAAAATAGAATATAAATCAGTTCACTCCTAGATAACACATGGGATATTTTCCCGAGCGATGCGTTTATAGATGCAAGTCATTGATCTTATTTACTTCAAATGACTATCAAAGAACAGTAAATGCTGACCTCTAACAACTGAAGTATCGTCACAAAACCGATCTCTCGCTAGACGCTCCCTCGTGCATGTCTCTATATTGCATATTACGCAATTAGATGACGTAGAACAGGGTGGGATCTCAAATCAACATTATTCATACTAACAGGTTCCAAATTATCCGGCCATTGGTTTACGTGCTAATCGAGTTCATGCCCTTTGCAGGAATTGGGTAGTACGTATAATCAATCATGTCTTAGTCAGCTCTTACCTGTTCATATTTATAAAACTTCGCATTTCGATTTGTCATGTAATTTTTCTATTTCGATTATAAAGCTTGATTTGTTATTTTATTCTTCCTGAAAGATCTTCATTTTACTGTTTTATCTTTCAAAACTCGAACTTGACATTTCAGCTGGCATCTTTCCGATGAAAACTTCTTCGCATGCAGTTTATACTGCACTCATTCTATACAGGCTTCACTCTATTTAGCCGAGTAAAATTAGTTTAATGAGTTCGCCTGTATCACTTATCTTTAGAAATTTCTCGCAATTGGCCTTAATTGCGAAAATGTAAAAACATTTAAAAATGTCCGCCTTTCAAACATTTGACCCAAAGTCGTAATATCCACTGAAAATTTGTACGATTGGATCGCTCTTGCCTTATTCACCTCAATAGAAATAACAAGATGATGACCATGGTCATGGTAGCTATAGAGACGGCTACAGCTACACGAGGCCAGTAGTGACGGTAACAACTTTCAAATGTTTGCTACACGTAATTATCAGGATACTGTCTCTTGTAAGGGGTTACTGGGTCCTTTCGTGGCCAATAGCGCCTACACGAATTTGTTAGCTCGGTTAATGGTGACGGTTGGTATCTGAAAGTTGTACTGGCATCGTGTAAAGAGTTACTGGTCTTTCCGTGGCCAGTAGCGCCTGTGCATGAGGCCATCCTCCCGGCAAATAGTGGCTGTTAGTATTCGAAAGTTGCCCATGCCGCCACTACTGTCCCCGGGTACAAGCACAAATTAATGTCGTGGACTAGACAGCGCGCTGCTTCGCTAAGAATCCTGAGGTGCGGACCACCTCGGGCAGCAGCCGCCCAGCACGGAGTCCGGGGAGTGGTCGCCATGCCGCGGTGGGGGAAGGTTTACGCTGCTGTTGTCCTGCGGAGACATGTCCCCCACAGCGCCTCCTTTGTTGTCCTGTAGTGCATGCGTGTGTAAAAACAATCAGGGACGCGAAAACAAAACATATATATTCTTATTATGTTTTCATGATATTTTTGCCGGCATGCTAGCTAGGCTTAATTTTACGTGCAACAGGTTCATTTCTGACACACGCATTAACACTTTCTTCTAACGTGGTAGATTCTGTTAGATAATTTGACGAATAAGTACAATGCAGCAGGGATTAACATGAATGGAAAATTGTATTTGCGTTCTCTATATGTTTCTCGAATAAACGTTGTGAATGGTAATCCATGCAACACGTGGAGGTCATAAATAAACATTTATATAAGTGTTATTGCACAGTGTACTGTTGTGCTGCATGTGAGCATCAACCAGAAGTGACGTTTATATACACATAATAAATAATTAGCGATTTTGTTCATGTTTTTTAAGGCATTGATTAATTATTGATCGTTTTCATTCGTGTAGCTCTTGAATGCTCTGCTCTCTGTTAAGTTATAACGTTCACATTCATGATCAGATATTACCTTAGAACCCAGGGTATTATTTTCATTACTTTAAGTTAATCAAATAATTTAAACACAAATAAGATACCTGTTTAGAATAAAATAAAATAGAATAATGTCTCAACATTTATTAGCCCGTGTCGTCCTGTCGCTGATTCTCACCCCGCCACCTTGCTAAGTTCGACCAGAATTTGCACATCTGATCACGGGTTTCGAACCCCCAACTCGCTGGTCCAATTTTGGGGACATTACCGTCACCACCACGAGTTGTAATATATGTAATTTCTAATGTGTTGTGGAGTTATATATAATATGCACTCGTTATTCTTACTTTTGCTCGACACACAGTGTGTTCACGCACATGTAAACAAATGACAATTCTGTGCGATATCGTGCCTTACTGCAATCATATTCAGATCGTTAACTGGTGCAATTGTATTGGATTCACGGTAAAAAAATTGCAAAGGACACACAAATGGAGGTTCATGTATAAAGTATGGTGAGTGATTTAGAACTGAACCTAACATCAATATATGTTGGTAGTCTAAATATCTCCAACGCAATGCAAGCAAGACATGTGTTTTGTAAAATAGAATGCAAAAATACACCGGGCCTACCGTGTACAGTCTATGGAAAGCCTGAGAACAGGGATGAGAAATAACCTTGGATAATTATTAGAAGTTTGGTCACGGAAAAATTTACTCTATCATACTTTAAAACAAGCAGACCAGCCCGTTGTTGCTCGGGATTAATAATCCCCGTAATTTTTGGCTCTTTTTACCCCAAATCGCGATAATAACAAAGATAATGTACATTAGCTAAAGAAAGACAGGTTCAAACCCAATTTTTACATAGAATTCCCATTTGGCTCCCGTTCAAAACTTTATAAAAAAATCCAATTTTTAAAGTAGGTACACTTGTGTATAGTACAGGAGTTTATGAATTATATTTAAAATTTTTATCCAATCCTTCCTCTCAGGTATGCAATGGCTTACTATACGTATACTCGCACTAAGAATAAATTTATAGGTGCAGGTAACATCGCGACAAAATAAAATTTAAGTATTGGTTATCATAGTACGTTAAAAGAAACGAATTCAAATTGTTAATCAAAGGATTCTAATCCTATATAAAGAATCTTCTCAAATATTCGACTCTTCTTACCTTGTCAAAATGCCCGTTCCTGACGAGCTGTAAAGGACAAGTCATCCAATGAGATCGCGTTGGTAGTATTACAACAAATTAACAATAGTTGATGGGGTCTCGAAAAGCTATTCATCAGGCTAACAAGGTCCTGACTAATTTTGACTAAGTATTGGCTCAAGTTAGCTTATAAATATTTGTTTTTAAAACATATAACTTTTATTAATAATTTACTATTTAAATTTTGAAGCTGCATTCTATAGAACAAATGATTTCATGTTCATTTGAAAAAAGGGTTTCATGAGTATTTTCGAATGATTTTCATGGTATGAACCATCCTTAAATTTGTCTCTCCTTCAAGCAAACGGCGTTCAAAAATCGTACATCATGTGCCGCTTTCTCTAAAAAACGTAGAATCAACGTTATTTCAACGTCATTTTAACGTTATTTCGACGTAACTTCGAAGTTATTTCAAATCAAGATGCGTGGTTGTTCAAACCATCGCTTACCTGCGTTAACTCCTTGGCTATTTCGATGAAAAGTTTCTCGACGTTATCAGCCTCCTTGGCGGAGGTCTCGATGAAGTACATGTTGTGCGTGTGTGCAAACTCCTCCCCTACGTGGGTGGGAAGCTCTCTGTCCTCGCGGTCAGTTTTGTTTCCTGAGAATATTATTATTTTTATTAAATATCGTAAGTATTCATTTCCGCTGTTGCTAGTAAATTTAAAGCGAGTTAGTTCTTAATTTGCGCCTACTTATTTCAGTTCTGCATTCTGTGCTAGATTTACAAACTTCCTCCACAAAATAAATTTTTCTTTTCATACGTTTCAGCCTAAAACAATTAGTAGTTTGCACATCGATCAATTCATCGCATAGCATTAATTAAAAAACTTACAGCTCGCGTACTGCTCACCTACTAGCACCCGTAGCACCTTGCAGCTCGCGTACTGCTCACCTACTAGCACCCGTAGCACCTTACAGCTCGCGTACTGCTCACCTACTAGCACCCGTAGCACCTTACAGCTCGCGTACTGCTCACCTACTAGCACCCGCAGCACCTTACAGCTCGCGTACTGCTCTATCTCCCTAAGCCAGCCAGGCAGGCAGTCGAAGGTAGGCTGGGAGGAGATGTCGTACACCAGGATGAGTGCGTGGGCGGAGCGGTAGTAGGACTGAGTGATCGATCTGAACCGCTCCTGACCCGCCGTGTCCCAGATCTGTAGCTACTCCACAAAGACATATAATTTTATACGACGTACAGTTAATTATTTAATTTTTATACTACAATCGAAATTTCATACAGATAAGATTATTTGTTGAATAATGAAGAATTTGCACCTGCTTCCACGTAGTAAGGTATTCCATCGTTCATCGTAAAGTTATTCGTTCAATATTTATATTAGAATTACCATTTACAACAGAGATCAATTTTACATAATTATTTGTTGAATACCTGATAATAATAAATTCAAATAAAAAATTATGCGAGCGAGATGCATTCATATTTTACCAAATCTTCAGCCTAAAAATGCACGACAATCGTAATGAGTGTTGCTTGATAATGCCTTGGATGTTTATTTATATATGCAAGTCGGGAGTTCTAAATTCTCCCAATCATTCGGGTAACTTTGTAAAATATGCCTCCGACATGCGGCAGCATCTGAAGAACACAGTTAACTGTCTCAATAAATTTATATTTTGAAAAGATCATCAAAAACTTGTCCAACTGAAAACTAATTCGTTCAGTACTCTAGCGTGCTTACGCATTGTGGAACACTTGTGGACTCTCAACCCGCGCAGAAAATTTCAATGTTCTTTCCTCAAATATTATAAATATCAAATAAATTATTACTCAAACAAACTCCATATAATACTTCTTGCAAAATGATCCAACTTATTTAGCAAAGGTCAACAAACCTTGATTTTTTCGCCTTCGATCTCGACTGTCTTGATCATGAAGTCGACTCCTATGGTGGCTCCTTGGCCGGGGGGAAACAGGCCCTGCGCAGCGAGGAGATTCATCATACACATGATATGAAGAGTTCATCAAGGCACAATGACCAAATTAGTCGTTCAAATAATATGATATTGTAATAAATACCTACAATATTCATAGTGAAACATGAGTAACACACCTTCTGAAACTACAAATAATAATAATAACAATAATATAGGTGGTTGGGCACCAGCGTAAACTTGGTTGAGACAATTTGGTTGAGAAATATCCCGGATTGTCCAGTAATGGGAAACCACCCTCAGCAAGTGACAAGCAACAGCATCTTGCATCAGCTGGCCCAAAGGAGGGCAAATATACGGAACACGTCCAACGTTACATCCGGGACCCGAGGGCGGGGTGACCTGCCTAGCGACGACTCGGAGACGGAGGACGACGAAGGCGGCGCATCAGCGTGACCGGGGACTAGGAAGTCCCGAACTCATCATAAGGTAAGGTAAAGCGGAGCACCACACGCACCCACCTGCGTAAAGCGGCGCACCAGACGCACCCACCTGCGTAAAGCGGAGCACCAGACGCACCCACCTGCGTAAAGCGGCGCACCAGGCGCACCCACCTGCGTAAAGCGACGCACCAGACGCACCACCTGCGTAAAGCGACGCACCAAACGCACCACCTGCGTAAAGCGACGCACCAGACGCACCCACCTGCGTAAAACGGCGCACCAGACAAGTTTTGCCGACGCCAGCGTTCCCTATGAGTACCACCTTGAACAGGAACTTATAGTCCTCCATCACGCCTCCCCCTGCCCGTGGGTGAACAGTATTTATCAATAAATAAATTCAGGAAATTATAATAACAAAACTATATGTATTCGGTAAATATGACCTTATATGGACTCCTTCGCCGCATCTTCTTTTCGATATATCGGTCAAGAAAGGATGAATTGTAATCAACGGGGAAGTTTCAGGAAGAATAATCTTGAATTACATAATCCAGAGTAGAGTCTCTCTCAACAATAGTAACTCCATCAAAAATTAAAAGCTCTATAAAGCACTTCAATCCATGCTATCATTCAATATAAACTTAAATTGGTTAACATAACATTATTCGCGATTGAAGAAAACGAATTCAAGATAAGGATAGGATTTGGACGTAAATAGAGATCACAGTAGTGCAATATTATCAAAAGATGACATACAGAGAACGGCCGGCATCGCGAGGAAGTGACAGAGCGACAACTGAGACATCGTTTGTTTAGACGAAAGATTAGGTCGAAAAGACTATCACTGTTTCGTGTGAGAAAAGCATGCCTCTTATCAGAGCAGCGCCTCTTTTTTCTATAACACTCAGAATATTTTGTGCACGAATGTTTGCTCCGTTATACTCGTTATGGAGCTTGCTAGGTTGTTTGTTAAAAATTTTGTATAGTAGGTATTCCCACATAGACATAGTCCAGCTTTCGAAGTGTTGTAAATGCATATTACGGGTCACATTAAAATAATAACGGCTACCTCATTTCCATTATTCATTCTAACAAAGAAATACTTCAAATTGCGAAAATGGTTTTGTTAATTTCTGCTTTAATCCTCTGTCCATTTCAACCCAGCGCTTCAGAACGTCAAATGTCAAAATTCTATACTAGATTTTCGATTTGCTTGTTCTCTTGACATTTATTTTTGTTATTTTGCGCCAACTGTTAGGTCGTCAACAGGCTTTCCATCTCATCTACGAAATCAATATCATGGAGCGTGCAAACAAAAATGGAGAATTTTTGCCGTCTTGATTGAAAAATAACAAAATTTTATGAAAAAACAATATTTAATAATATGAACACGCTCAGAACTCTGTATCAACTCGAAGCTATTTTCACAAATTACTAGTAGGGCAAATCAGGAACCACATTACACTCGGACAAGCGAAATAAACGAAGCTCCACGACACAAGGTGTGGTTTGGCATGGTGAAATTATTGCGCCTTGACTAAAATATCAAAATTTTTTAGTATAGTAAACAAATCGAGATAATGATCATTTTCTTATGTGATGTATGCCGTCAGCACTGCTACTTGTTGGGATTTCGCGTCTCCTAACAATCTGACATCATCTGGATTTAAGGACACTGTACTCATGACTGTACTCACCACTAATTATATCGAGATTCACGGTCTGTTTCCATGTCAGGGTTTAAACTTGGAGGTGAATTGAATGAAGGCAGTTAATAAGTAAATTCAAATGAGGACGTGTAAAAAACGAGGGCGGCTATTTCTGATCCAGAGACATTTTTCTTGCACTGGCCACAAACGCAGCCACTCAAACCACCCCAACCAATCGTCTGCTATTTTCCACTACAACCTTCTCACGTCCTGCCTCAGCACAGCGATCGATTACCGCTGCAGCATTGTGATACGTGACATGATATAGTTATTACCTTCTTTAATTTCAACATGAGTAACTTTAAGAGGTCATAATATACTCATGACAAGAATCTGAGTGATTTATATTCAACTTGACAAATGAAGGATTTGTAGATTTCAATCCTCTGATTTTTTTTATTACATCTGTAGTCTCATTGTCAGATTGACAAACTTAAATAAATAGAAATTGTTATAAATTTTGGCATGAATTTGATATTAATTTTAATTTTGGATTAAACCAAAATATGGAATAAAATCAGTCTTCGAAACTTTTCAGTAGTAAGGAAAAAAAAGTCGGACAGTCGACATGTGGCGTTCATGTCAAGACTCCAGCAGTTGAGCAGTTGCCGTCGTCGTGTTACCTTGTGCTTGTTGTGCTCGGTGTTGCGACTCTTAAAAACCAAGTTTTCTTGACCGGAACGTCGTATCAAAAGTTGCAGCAATGCTGTCAAAAGAAGGTAAGCAAAACTATTTATACACTTATTATCATAAGATTATTTCTTTTACCGTATTATGCGTATTTGGAGGCTTGTTTTGTTGAGACGATTTTGAACACCAATTTGTTTTCTGCAGCAAAGTAATATCAGGTACCAAATTGAGGAATGTAAATAAAAAAAATTATTTCTCTCCTTGCTTTGATAATGTGTATTGTTACTTGATTATTTTTGGAAATGTACTGTGTACATATCATTATTGTAAATTGTAATATATTTAAATAATTTACATTACATTCTATTGTTCTAAGTTCTAACAAATGCCATTTACACTGCCAAACTGGAATAGGCCTAGGGTAGGCCTATCAGTGCTATCACTATCAGTGACATAGCTAGGTAGGTAAGTAGCTACAGTGATTATTGTGCACAAAAAAATTTCCTCTGATCTTAATGAAAATTATACATCTGAAAAGAGAAAAAATTTAGACCTGATACGATATCAAAGTTTACTTGTAGAGTTGTAGCACCAAATGGTACTCTTGCAAAACTTAGCCAAGCAAGTAGATGATAGATATTTCTTGAAAAACCAAGAGGTTTTTAGTTTCAAAGTTCAATTTTTTCTCATTTGTTGCCAAACTCACATCAATATAGCCTAATTAGCCTTCAAGTTTGGACTTTGGAGGGACTTTTAAAAGTAAATGCCTCCCATGCGCCGAAGAAGAAACAGGCTGTCCACCATTTCACTAGCATTGTTGTGATTGTGTGTGGTTTGTTCACATACCTGATATTGGTGTAGTTAGGCAGAAGTTCATTTATACAGATTTGATTGAAGACCAGAGCATACTTTTTATTTACAAATTCATAGTGGCAAAGCAGAGACTTTTTAGATTCTCCATCAAGTTCATTTGTCATGTGAGTCCTATTAGTAGACCAGTAAAGTATCATGAATACCAGACTTATCATGCATTAGAAATTGGTTTAAATCTTGAGTAAATGCAAAAATGAAAAATGAACTGATTATAAAAATCTCTGGTTTGTCACTGTGAACAATTTTCTTATTGTTTTTTTGATAAGCCAAACCAAATTTCTAGCTGGAGCTTGGAGATCAAAAAGCAAATTACCAAATGACATTTTATTGCAATGCAATGTTTTTGACTATATCAATATTCATTATCAAGCAATTGAAGAGTTATTAAAATACTTAAAATTGAAAATTAGACATGACATAAGTTCATACAGAAAGTATCGTAAATACGGTTTAAAATAAAAAATCATATTAATCCGATTTAAACGTCCTGATGAATCCGGTGGTTTGCAAATTGATAGGAGACTTGTCCTTAATGATGAGAGCCTCTGCTATAGACAGTCTCGTAGTGTTGGGGCACTGCATGACAATGCTGGTGCAGGCCTCCAATGTGGCATGGGTGATGGTCTTGTTGTGGGCCTCCTGCAAATGATTTTTTGGTCCTCCAGCTTGCACTGCAGTGTGGAATTCTAGAGGGATACCTATTAAATTAACCAGTACACATAGCATATTGGAAAGCAGGACCTGAAAGCTTGGAAAGGCCAGGAACTTTCCACTTTCAGTCCATCATATCATATACCAAACATAACCTATCACTTTCCAGCCGTGATTGGTTGATGGCATGGTGGCAGGGAATTATTGTGAGTACTTATCAGTCCACCCACCGCCGTGCGTCGGTCTTAACCCTTTGCAAGGCCCCATGCCCTTGGCCCTTGGGCTCCTCTTGCAAGTTGTAATGGTCTAAACTCAACAGTTCGACGGTTCAACCCCATCCCCATGGTCTCATCACAACTCCCTTTAGAAATATGTGGAGTTTTGAAATTGATAGTAATAAATCAATAAATATTTGAACTGGGAAATTCCTTAGTTACTTACGTTGGTTCCACAATGATATAAATGACGTAAAAAATTACAATGACATCGGTTAAGAACTTAAGCCTCACTGCCTCAGCCATGATTCTAGCTTTGCTAAGTCCTTACACTCTTACCTCGTAATTCATGATGTTAGAACTTCGATATTCAAATTTTGAATATCTGTCAAGTGTCAATATCACAATCAAGATTATTTCACAATCAGAAATATGTTATAATATCACAATCGAAAATATTATTCACAAATTACCATCCATTTCAATGCCGAACTGGACTCCCATCTTTACGCTAGCCATATGTTTACATACGTCACAAACGGTGACGTATGTCGTCCCACGGTGACGTCACACACAAGAACACGTGGAGACAAAAAAAAGCAATGTTTCGCTGCACCACAAACAAATAAATGTAAATAATTGGTAATATAGTCTATAGGATTTTGAATCGATGCATGCATTCAAATTCAAATTAGGTCCACCCACGCCCCACGGCAAGTGTAGCTGTCAGCTCACCTTTCTTCAGAAGTGTGAAAGCTTTTGTCGGTGAAGGTGTGTTTTACGATCGGTCCGTAGAGAAGCGTTGATCGGTTCAAAATGACATAAGAACAGGTTCTTTTGAATAACCTATGGATTGGCACCATGGTTGATGGGATTGTGATTTTAGCCCCTTCCAGCTTTCCAGCTGTGATTGGTTAATGGAATTGTTATGTTATCTGCTTTCTAGCTGTGATTGGTTGATGGGGAGGCTTTCCAGCTGTGATTGGTTAATGGAATTGTAATGTTATCTGCTTTCTAGCTGTGATTGGTTGATGGGGATGCTTTCAAGCTGTGATTGGTTGATGGAAGTGCTTTCAAGCTGTGATTGGTTGTGCCCATAAGCCCCACCCCCAAATATGGTATATGTCTACAGTACTGGTTAACTAAATACTCAACTTGAACTTGATCATTACAAACAAAAAGCCTGGATAATTTTCAAAAAATCCATTAAATAAAAGAAAAATAGAAAATATCTATCAAACAATTTTTTAACAAATCTGAGGTACCGTACAATTGAAACAGTTTGTCCACTTTTGATCCTCCTTTTCATTTATAGTCAGTCACCTGGCACTTGGCAGAGCACTGTATCCAAGGAAAGCATTCCACTTTGGGTGGAAAGCTTTTTTATAAGTGAACTTCCATTTCTAGAATTCCACCTTGGCTTGCAGATGGCTTGTGAGTCTGCGGCTCAATGTCATGCTGGTTAAACCAATGTAATTTACATTTTGGAGAAGTCTACAACCTTCTTTCAAGCAGAAAAATTTGTAAATGACATTGGTTTCTTGAAGCGGTCTTGACTTTTTACAGGGATTGTTTTTCATGATTAAATTCTTGATCTTTTTATTTCTGTAATAAATCAAAAGTTGTATTTGGTCAGTTACCGTTGTGCAACTGATGTGATTTTACACAATTGAATTTACTCGTTTGTCAGTCCTATGACTGCTGTTCTTATGTCCATGTCTTATGACTTTCTGTATGAACTTGATAATCTGCTTTTGTGTCTCCAAGCTCCAGCTATAAACTTCGTTCGGCTTATAAAAAAAAATAATGGGAAGATTGTTGATTCAAAGTACACTCTGGTCTTCAATCACACCTGTTTACCTAATATCAGGCATGTTGGCAAAACAGAGACTTTTTAGACTGATCTTCAAGTTTATTTTAAACTCCTGCCAGTAGACAAGTGAGTAGTATCATAGATGCCAACATAACCATACATAAGATTTTGAGTGAAATCTTGAGTAGATAAGTAAATTAGAAATGAACCGATTCTAAAAATCTGTGCTTGCAACCATGATAATGGGTAAAATTTTTCAAAAGTGCAGGTTTCACATGCAATTTATGAAAATTGCTGGCAAAAATTGTGCATTTTTTTATGAAAAAATTAGGCAAGGGCCCAATAAAAATGACTACAATCAATAAAGACTGCAAAACCAGTAAAATTGACTGCAACATGCAAGCAATAGTCATTTTGTCTCATTAATGGGTTACTCCTGCCTATTGTCTAGAAATTTTGGGCAGGGTTGGCAGTGATTAAATCAAAATGATTAAATCATGTGATTAAATCACTTGATTTTTTTATAAAAAAATCATGATTTTTTTTATTTGTATGATTTTTTCATATATTTAAATATATTTAGTGGCAGTCTTTAATTTATATTGAGGTATTGTTATTCATGGTTTAGTATAAATGTACTGTAAATGACAAATTGGTATATAAACTTGTTGCCTTTAGTGTGTATTAGGTCTCATTACCTTGCTCCATACAAACTTTACAAAGCTAATGAATAGACATAGTACCAATAATTGTTTACCCAAAAATCCCTAAGTGGTAAACACCACCTTGGCCTGTTGGCCAATATTGAAGGCAATATATTAGTGCCCTTTTTAGCCATCCATTATGATCCATATACTGTTATTGTTAGTGGGCTAATTGCAACATAAAACATAACACTTCAAAAAGACAAAAAAGTTGAAAAAATCAAAAAAATTGAATAAATAAAAAAAATTATGAAAAAATCAAAAAAATCATTGATTTTTGATTTTTTTTATTTAAAAAAAAAATCAAAAAAATTGCCAACCCTGATTTTGGGTCAAGGGGGTTGTCCAGTATAACTACCTACTATCTCATGTTGTAGGGAAAACTATTACAAATCTGAAGCAAAAACTAAAATGCATCATATATAAATGCATCATATCATAACATATATCTGTAAACCCTATCTTTTTTTGTGAGGTCATTGTGAACTTTTATAAATGAACAATTTAAAACAATTGATAATAATGATTTATTTATTTAATTTTGTTGTATTTATATATCATTATTCACAATAATTGAACTGTTTTGAGCTTATTTGCAGCTATGGAGATAGGAGAAGACACTTTGATTGCAGCCTAAAGGATCCAATTATTTATATGTGTTTGCTTAAGTTTTTGCACAAAGCAATTTTGGCAACAATCAGCAACAGGCCATCAGTTTATTTCTTCAGTGCCAACATTTTATTCTATTCTATATACCATCAAATGGGGGGGGGGCAAATTTGAGAGCTTTTTGTTGATGATTTCTTACCATGAAACATTTTGTAAACAAGTTTGTTCTCATTTTAAAGGTCTTTGTGAGGGCTATCTTATGCCCTCTCCAAAAAAATTCCATATCCTATTCGTAAGGTGCCAGACACAAAATATAGTGTCCCAAAATTACCCTTGTTATTAGGTTAATTTGGAACACATGAAATAAAACTTAATTTTAAAATGTTTGATGAAAGCAAAGTGTACTCATCCATTACTAACAGTGCTCCAAAGTCCTCCTCTTACTTTGTAGATGATGTATGTACCTAGAGGCTAGATGTAGAATAAATGAAATTTTTTGTGATTTCTACTTGTTTTTCCTTTGTTGATATGATATTACCATATCCATACATTATTGTATTATTGATTTGATATTGATATCCATGGACATGCTATTGAGCATTGACATTGACCTTGTGCTCTGTAAGCTTACAGGACTGGGCTTGTAATTTTTGCACCATTTTAATTGGGTCAAGTGAATTAACTATAACAAAAGAAGATTGTACAAACACCAGAAACAGAAAGTAATATTTTAGTGACATCCATCATATCTTTCGGAGAAATAAATCATGTTTAGGTTAATTACTTTTCAATTCCATGTTGCCTGGTGCACAATTCTATCTATGAAATTTTATACAGAATTTTGTGATGGTCTATGATGCATTAATTTTTTGTTGAGTGATTTGATTTTGCTGAGGGAGTTAAAAGTAATCAAAATTCTTTGGGGTTTTTCAATTTTTTTTGTTACCATGAATCAAGGTTCAATGTTCTACTGTAAATGCATTTTTAAGGGTGTCCTGTATTACCCCATGGGGATGTCCCTTATTACCGTGTTGTGCGGAAATGGCTGCCATTTGTTTTGGATTGATGTACAAAAATTCCACCAATGAAGTATTAAGGGGGAATCTACCCTAAAGTTTTTGGATTTGGCTTTTCTGGTTTTTAGTCTCATCTTAAAGCTGACATTCTGCCTTATCCAACGGTACCATTACCATCTCTGTGCGTTGATTTCTGTGTTCACAACAGATCATGAAAGGGAGGAGGGTGGGGGAGTTCTTTAACAAATAAAATAGGTGGAAATTATCTGCGAGCACTTTTGGCATCTGAGAAATTTTCAGATACCAGTTCTCTTCTAATTTCCTAATCTACTTATTGATTTTATTCAATGACTTGTGTAAATATGTTAATGCTTATATCCATAATACTTGTATACGTACTGCTCTGTTTTATAAATGTATAAATATAGCTCAACTAAGGAAGGAAGGTGAACCAAAGTCTTGCTTACCAAGTCTTGAGATCAACTATGCTTGAGTGCCAAGTTGCCACTTGTGGTACTATCACTAATGGTAAATACTCTTAAATTCAAAGGAGTACCTATTTCTGAAGTCATTTCACCATATAATATTGATCTGAGTAATGTGCCATAAGCAGCAACATGAATTTCACTTACATTAATTCTTAAACTGATTTACAATTTTGTTTCTTCTGTCCCTCACAGATTGGCATAGAAAGTACCAGGAGAAGCTGGATGAGGATCCTTATGCTATTCATCCCATTGCAGTGATGCAACTTGTACTAGAGTCTCTGGTACTTGACGACTCTAAAACAGTGCAAGAACTTATTGGTAAGAATGTATTATTGTATTAATTTATTGATTTGTTGCATACACAAAGTAATTTATCATTAGTATCTAATATTTATTTACTGTTACTTTTGCAATCAAACATTTTAATCCCAAACAGGTATTGACAGAGTAGGGAGAAAAATGGCTATTCTCTTAACTGTAATTGATTTTTGTGCTGTGAATTCATGGACTTTTGATCTGCAAGTCCACTTTCTGAGCAGTGAATCCCTTTTCCTGCCATGGAATGACTTATTGGGGTGGGAACTTGTTTACCTAGTCATACTCGCACATTAAATGTAGGTACCAAATCTCTAATTTTACCCTTGAAATTGCTACATAACCTTTTTCCTGACTTTAGAGGCAATTAAGCACATGATGTATTTTTAATATTTATTTGAATGTTTAATATTTGAAAACTGTTATAATGAAAAGTGACATAATCATGAGATCAACTGAACACTTAGTGTGCTGTCACTACTAGGTATATGGGATACTTTGGCAGGAGCCTCATACCAAACTGTACAAGTATGGCATTGTATGACGTTTTGCTAGCACACTCTGATAATTTTTTATCTGTCTGGCTGCCAATTGCAAACCTTCAGGTGGAGCTCATTAATGTGAAAATGCAACGAATTAGACATGGTTTTAAATTTCATTGGTATTTTTTTCCAAAGCCATGCAATATCATCTAGTGAGCTTTCTTTCAATCAGAAACCTGAGTGCTCTAGCTTCCTAGAAATAGTACTATCAAACAAAATAATTTTTTTACTATATTTTTTTAACCCTTCAAAGATCATAAAGGGTACACAAAGTTGTATGAATGATTAGATTGAAATTTTTTTCATCAAGCATACTGATTACTCCCTAGTACCCTTCATTGGGGTTCCCCTAATTTTGAAGTTATAAATTTGAAATCTCAAATATTATTTAGTTCTGATTCATTGTTGTCTAATGATCTTGAAGACATAGATAGGGCTTAGAGGTAAACTTTATGTGAATTGTACTAGCAAAACGACTGTTTATACAAAATGTTTTCACTCCACAATTTGAAATATTTTTGGGTTTCTTTTCTACTTTAACAGAGAGGATGAAGTTTGTGCGGCAAGCTTTATGTGATAGTCCATGCTCCACAGTGTCAACTGAGCCTTCTGGGGAAATGTTCACGCGCTTTATCACGCGCGCGAGCACTGCTCTTGAAGATGCTGAAGTGAGTTGCCAATAGCTCAATTATCTATTTCTTTGAGTCAACTGCTATAAAAATAGCCCAATCTTTTGCAAGCATTACCAATTAAACAGATGGCCATATTTTTAAATTACCTTGATTGCAATTGACAAAATAGTATTTTGAGATTTTACTGTTAGTATTGTAACAGTTGATTAATAGAGATTGTATTTAAAATATCAAATCTTTGTTGAGTCACATCTGCAGAAATTCAACAGAGACTGTGTAATGCACCACTTTTATCTAAAATGCCAAAATTAAATATCTTTCTAATATTTTCAGTGCAGTTCTTCTATTAAAGGAGATGTGGTAAAAAAAACACAATAAACTAAATATGCATTTTGTTTAGTATACTCACTAGAATAATCATTTTAAAGATATCCCACTGTTTATGATTAACATTACCTATGTTCTGATCTTGATTTATTTACCATTTTTCATGTAATATTTCCTATAAATATATTATAATTTAGGTAGAAGCAAGTGTATTTGTTTGTTTACACTGGATTACCTTGTGCAGACCATTGCTGAAGCACGCCAAATCTTGATAGACCGTGGAGAGGACTTCATCAAACATATGCTGGAGCTTCCGGACAAAGTGGCTAAGAAGGCTCTGGGTCTCTTTGAGCAAACCCACAAGCACCTCACCATACTTACTCATTCTAGGTCATTTACTGCTGCGCACTTTTTGTTTACTTTGCTTGCCAGAAATTACTGAAGGGATCAGGACTGACTTGTGGGATACAAGAAAATTTGGTGATCATTGTGGTTTTGGGCCCAGTAATTCTCTGATTTCTAGAACTAAGAATCAATTGCTTTATAAATTCGTTTGACTATATTGAAAGTGAATTAGTTTCTACAATATCATTTGCAGCTGAGCTTAAAATTCTATACAATTTTTTTTTCTGTTGGGATTTAGTTGCATTACACACTGCATGCTTAAACTGTGGTCCTGATGTTGAATTATTATTTTTGCAGGAATGCGTGCCTGCTGTCCACATTCCTCGAAGCAAAAAGCAGAGGTCACAGTTTTTATGTTTTTGTGACTGAAGGCCGGCCATCCAACCAAGGGTTAGTCATTGCTTTGTTTTGGCTGATACTATTTATGCATTTGCTCAAAAAAAAGTGATCAAAACAAACAGGGCCTTGAGTTCATGAAATACCATCCAATTATGAGTAACTTGTCGGCCTTTTGTCTGAGAGAAAATGATTTTAATGTATAGAGTTATTAGAAGTTTTTATTTGGAGGTTTTGCCGCCCCTGCTCAAAGATTTTATATTTCTTGTTAACTGCTTGATTAGTCAACCCAGTTTCTCATGTTGATAATTCTCTTTATAATTATCTTGCTGATTATGGAAGTGTAGTACCTATACATAATTGTATGCAGCTTTTTTAAAAGAAAAAGTTGAAACCTCTCAAATTTGTTCATTCCTTAAAAATTTAAGCTGAGTGTACTGTGTTAACAGAAATAGTATCTTAAGCACATTTTCCTTTAAAATATTGCACAATCGTGATATTTTTGTGTACAGAGCAAGTATGGTAGAGGAGATGAAGCAGGCGGGCGTTTGCTGCTCACTCATCCCTGACGCTGCGATGGCGTACTACGCTGAACAGTGCAACTTCATCATGTTGGGAGCCGAGACCGTGTGTCCGAATGGTGGCATCATTGGGGTGGTTAGTAGCCGGGAGACAATTGGGGTGGTTAGTGGCCGGGATATAATTGGGGTGGTTAGTGGCGGGGAGATATTTGGGGTGGTAAGTAGCGGGGAGACAATTGGGGTGATCAGTGGCGGGGAGATAATTGGAGTGATCTGTGGCGGGGAGATAATTGGGGTGATCTGTGGCGGGGAGATAATTGGGGTGGTCAGTGGCGGGGAGATAATTGGGGTGNCATGTTGAAACTGGAGCCATAAAAATACCTACTCCATCTTTCTCAAATATGGCAATTAAGTGTGATGCGTGTCTGGTCAGATCGGCACGGCGACGATGACTGCCACGGCAAAACTTCTAGGAAAACCCGTACATGTGGTGGCCGAGTGCTACAGGTTCTCTGACCATCACTTTCCTCTAAACAATCGTCATCTCATCCGGAAACACTTGGTTAGTTATAAACTTGTCTCTAATGCACTAAGAAAGATATTTCCTGTAAAAAAAATAATTTCCTGTTTGTCGGTTCTTTTAGTTTACGTGCTATTACTTAAATTGTCTGATATCACATTGACAGCTACAGTATTTCTTGGACATGCATGACATTTGATACTTGCTTCATTGAAGACGAAAAGATAATAGATGTACTTGCCTTGTATCGATACTTCTTGGATTATTGTTTCAGTGCATCGGTTCCAGTGTTTTTTCTGAGTGATATTCATTTCTGGAATTTGCTCATTCTTCTGGTAGTTGCTATCCTATTTCCTACATACTTTCGTTTTTTAGGACGCATATTTTCGTGCCAGCGAGTTTGCTACGACTTTCAGGTTTTGCAAATTGATTTGTTGGTCTAAAACAATTTGCCACACATACCAAATACAGTATTCCAGGTACTAAGTTCAGCCTTAAATTAACTTGTGTATGTGATGACAGCCGAACGTGAAAGGATTTGACTGCCCTCCTGTTGACTACAGTCCGCCTGAGAACATCAAGCGACTCGTCAGTGACATCGGCTCCATAGATCCTCTATTTGCTTACGATACCGTCAACCACCTCTTCACATAGTATAAGTAATACCTCAACCACCTTTTCACGCAGTATACATCATATTATCAGCAACCTCTTTACATGGTATGAATGATACCAGGTGCTTCTCACGTAGTTATATATTAAACCATCAACCACCTCTTTACACAGTATCAATGATACCGTCAACCACCTCTTTACACAGTATCAATGATACCGTCAGCCACCTCTTCACGCAGTATCAATGATACCGTCAACCACCTCTTCACGCAGTATCAATGATACCGTCAACCACTTCTTCACGCAGTATCAATGATACCGTCAACCACCTCTTCACATATTCGCCATTATATATATGGATTGTTAAACGCGAGATGTTTTTATATAGAGCAGGTTCCGACAGTCTGTTCCATTGGCTAAATATTTTGGAAGAAAATATTTAAACCTCAATGTAGCATTCTTTTTTATTCGTCGCGATCAGCATCTCAGCTTTGGCGTATAAAAGATTTTTATCTATCTCCCCTAGGTTATACATGTCCTAATTATTTTAATATGAACTGCCACTTTTTTATTAATAAAAGCGTTGAAAATTGAAAGTTCATTTTTTCTGCCTAATAGATGTTTCGGTTGAATTTTTGTGTGTTTGAGATCGCTTGCCGGGTTTGAATTAGAGATGAAACTAAAATCAGAATCCACTATGAAATGAATTAAGAGAGGACTAATATTCAAACAGGAATAAACTCTTGCTAGTTCTTCATTGATTCCACTATTATTGCAAATTTGATGTATTTGCTAGATCATCCGCGCCTCTGAAGCCATTCAACTTGTGTTGAGACGGATAAATAATTTCGTTGTTTCTCCCATGCTTCGAAGTTTAAATTGCATCCTTTTTGTAAGCTATATAAACTAACAAAGACAATTTTCAAAGTTCTAGTTCCCTGATAACATTTGCTAATTAACCAAACTTGATGCAACTTGTACGGGCAGTAGCGCGCTACATTTTCAGTAGCGGCAGCGGCGCTGCATTTAAGGCAATGTAGCGGTAGCGGTAGCGCCGGCAACATATTTAAGTAGCGATACGAGGTTTTGCCGCTACAGCGCTACCACTACATTTATAGATGAAGCCTTTTGATTTTACTTAATAGTATTAAATATTATTTAAAAACCAGCATGATACATTCATAATATAAATTACAGAATAAAACTACGAAAGATTTCGGTGTAATGTTGTCAACCTCAGCCTGTTACTAGTGTCAACATGTTAGTTGTTACTTGTTAAGTTGTTTCCAGTTACCACTCACAGGTATTTTTTCATGTTTCGGTTTGCTTACAGTTATTTTTATGTTTCATCTTCCCTACATGGATGTCTACTTTAATCTACCAATCTCAAAAAAGTCCACATATATATACAAATAAAAAATTGATTTTTTATATGTATATGTGGATAATTTTTGAGATTGGCAGATTAAAGTAGACATCCACGTAGGGAAGGTAAAACATAAAAATAACTGTAACTTATATTTACTGTATCTAACCCGTACTAGTTCGGTTAGGTTAATTGCAATAAAGTTGCATTGATATGTTTTGAAAATGTTTTATTATTATTAAATGTTTATGAGTAAATCCCAATGGCAGAACAATAAATATTTTGAGATTTCCAATAATTTTGGCCATTGTAGCGGCTAATGTAGCGGCGCTACATTTTGCTGTAGCGGTAGCGCTCGCTACAATCTCTAGGGTGTAGCGGTAGCGGTAGCGCCCGCTACATTTAGAGCATGTACGGCCGCTACATTTCAAAGTAGCGCTGCCCAGCTCTGCTTGTACTGCTCCTTGAGTATGTACGACTAGAAAATTTTGATAGAAGGTATCGTTGCTTTAATGAAATTGGCTTCAACTTGGTTCACTTCGGGAGAAATTCCTGTCATGCAGCTCATGCATGCATGGGATTAGAATAGAAGTGTCGGCGTTGAAGAAATAGGCCCATGGCCTGTTGCCGATTCTTGAACTTTTCGTGACTTCACAAGGGATCCGGCCTTTGGAACCCGATCTTTCCATA